TGGACGCCCCCGCTGCTTAGAACAAAGCGATAGAGTAAAATCTTTCCCCTGCGCTGCGCTGGGACGGTTCGCGGGAGAGCTCGTGGGTGATTCCCGTTTACATCATTAAGCAGAGGTTCAAACTCCAGTCTGAACACCACTGACCACGAGCTTTGGGCTCTGCTCTCATGGAGAATATTTACTTATATAGCATATTTTATTTTTTCCGTAACTCCCCAACCGGACCTCACCGGACAATGGCACCTTTTGTGTTACACCCAGCGTCACTACTCCCTCCTACCCTGCGAATTTCGAGCCCCTGGACGCCCCCGCTGCTTAGAACAAAGCGATAGAGTAAAATCTTTCCCCTGCGCTGCGCTGGGACGGTTCGCGGGAGAGCTCGTGGGTGATTCCCGTTTACATCATTAAGCAGAGGTTCAAACTCCAGTCTGAACACCACTGACAGCTCCGTGTATTGCGTGTAATCACATCCATACAGTTTATGATCACAACAACGTTTGTCAGGCATCTACATTGTTATCTGAGGAGATTACAAAGATTAAACAAGTGTTTTTTTTACTCTAAAACATATATATATATATATATATATATATATATAAACATAAATGTTGAAATGTTTTATTAACATATATTAAAATATATTTCAAATTAAAACTAAAATAAATATAAACCCATAACTGAAAAGCAATAATAATAGCGATGCTTGCCGAAACATAACTATAAAGTTTATGAACTACTCCTGTAGGGTCGCGGTGCTGGTGATTAGCAAACTATATGGACTTTCCTCAGCACACAAACAGTCTTTATGCAGGGCACCAGATGTGCAGTGCAGGCTAGGAAGTGGCAGCATGTTGTCATTTCAATAGCAACACATCGGCGCTGCACACAATAACCACAGTTACTGCGAGAGGGGGAGGGACGGGGTGTGTACACTGTGCTTCAGTGTATCAGACTGACAGTCCTACAGAATGCTACACTTAATTGCAATTTACTTTATATTACCACTGCATGCTATAGCACTGTACACATGCACTGTATGCGTTTTAATAAGCATGAGATAAATGTATATATTTGGACAATCCAGATTATTAAATAAGTATTCAAAGGTCCTTCATTTGATTTTTTTTTTGTAACTTGTGATGTACAAGATAAGATTAATAATACAAATTAAATAAGTATGGAATCAGCTTCACATTATGTTACAGTCAAGATAAAAATAAACCAGATAATTATTATAAATAATTTTAGTCTCACATGCAGAAAAAGCTGTTTTGTTGTGATTTTGATTCATCCCAGTGACTGAAAAAGTTTAATCATTCACCAAAATGATTTATTCAAGGATTTGTTCAATAATGAGCCAGTGAATCATTCACTCAATTCATTTGCAAGTGAGATATTGCATTTATTCAGTTCAGTTTGTTTACAAACAAGATACTGCATTTATTTGGTTCACCCACAAACAAGATACTGTCTACATTCGATTCAGTTTGGTTCGTTCACAAGTAAGATACTGCATTAATTCAGTTTGCTCACAAATGAAACACCACACTGATTTGGGTTCTTTACAAACAAAATACCATGTTCATTCAATTCAGCCACAAGTTAGAATAGATACTGCGTTTATTTGGTTCGCTCACAAACAAGATACTGTGTCCATTCAGTTTCGTTTGTTCACAAACGAGATTCTGCATTCATTCGGTTTGTTCACAAACAAGATTCTGCGTTTATTCGGTTACTAACAACATACTACATTAATTTGGTTTGTTTAGAAACAAAATAGAGCGTTAATTCAATTTATTCACAAGCAAGACACTGTTTATTTAGTTTGCTCACAAACAAAATACCAAATTCATTAGGTTTGGACTGCCAACAAACAAGATTCTACATTCATTTGGTTCAGGTCATTCACAAACGTGATACTGCATTTATTCGGTTTCTTCACAAACAAAATACTGCGTTATTCGGTTCACTCACAAGAAAGATGCTTAATCAAGTTATGATGATTTTACTGCGTATGAGTTACAATGATGAGATACCACATTCATTTTTCTCATTCACACACGAGATTCGTTCAGACAGTTTGTGCACAAGTAAGTTGTTTTGAGTGTGGTCGATTCATTTAGTGAAGAGCATATTCGTTCAGTAAGTCCAACCAATCAAATGGTCCTCAGCTCACCATTCTCAATGAAAATCTCAAAATGTAAGTGAAAACGCCAATGAAAAGTGAACATGAATGATTCACTCTTAAGCTTCATTCACAAAATTCCACTAGTCCTGCACAGCAATGACCTTGCTGATATATCTACACAATTGTAAAGCAGGTTGTCAGTAGACTTTTCTACCGCATTTCATTTCACTATAAAACGGGATAGACTGTACTACACCATTCTTTGTAATTGTAAAGTGAGTGTCACAGTACTGTACTAACCTCTCGCTCTCATCGGCAGCCTTCTCGGCCTCCTCCAGCTTCTGCAGGGCAGTAGCCAAACGCTCCTGTGCACGATCCAACTCCTCCTCAACCAGCTGGATACGTCTGTTCAGGGAAGCTACATCACCCTCAGCCTTGAAGAGCACAGAGGAACTGGCATAAATGCTCAAGATCAGATGTTCACACACAATTCAAATTTTTTAAAATTGTAATATAGGCTACCTAAATGAATCAGAATCTAATAAAACAGAATCAGAACTGAATCAAATTGAAATCAAAAGCTTCTGAATCCGAATCAAACTTAATGTGAACATCTGTAGTGAAATCCAGCCCTAAACAAACTCATCTGCCACATTAGTTTTGTTCAACTTTTGACATTTCAATGTGTTGTCACCACATTACATCCAATAAAAAAATCTGGGCTATAAGACTGGCTTTTAACTCATGCTAAATTAGTTGACATTTATATATTCTTAGGTATTTTAAAATATACAATATTGTTACATCATCAAAATAAGTGTATATTTATGTTTTTATAGCATGCATAACAAATAATCTCTGTTTAAGTCCCAGTCCAGTGATAAGCAAAGGCCTTACGTGGGACAAAGTGCATGTTATATTGTCAGCTGAGATATGAAAAACTAGAAAGCAATACAGATAACCTTGACAGCCAGCACTGAACTGCTACATTTCCTTAAAGGGCCCAGAGTCTTAAGTATGCTTGTTTAGAAAAGACTGAGACTGATTATCAATGCCATAACTAGATATCTATATATCCATCTATAACTAAATAGATATAACTAGGGCTGGGCATGTTTATGCGCCAAAAGCGGAACGAAACAGCGCGACTCATTTGAATCACGCCACTCGGACCGTTTATCTGCTCGGATCACAGTTCAAACTGCCACGCAGCGCGAGCTCACTAGAGCAGATGCGTTTACTCGGTCACGTGAGCACTAAACAACAGCGCTGAGAGATCCAGTGTGAAGCGCTTGAATTCAGCGATGAACACAAATGACTCTGTGATTTAAACTAGTTTAGAGCCAAACAGGAGAAACACTGTGTGCAACGAGACAGTCAGAAGGCTTTTCAATCTACACATCGCCATAATTTACCATGGATTTACTGTAGTAACACTCACTGCATCATGGTATTGTGGCAGAAATGTGTGATATTCACATTGAATTTTATTACAGAAGTAATGGTATATAATTATAGTAGGTATTTGAGATTAAGCTATAGCATGTGTGCATTTATAGAGTGTTTTAGACTACTGTTTCTCATACAAATAGGCTACCTAAAAACCATATAGTTATATTTTTACCATGGTACTGAGGTTCTATATGTGTGGTTTTAACTGTGTTTATCATGATTTAAATGTATGCTACTATGGGAGACCAATGCTTAATAAAAAAAAAAAAAAGAAACTTGGTCAGAAAGAATACATTTAACCATATAAAATGGAGATTGCTAAATTTTTTTTTACAGATGTTACTGATTTTGATAATGAACTAAAATTGACCTCTGCATCCTAGCTCAAGCTACTATCAAATGTGCATTTCTAAGCATTTCATTTTCTAAGAGACAAATAAGTTATATTATTATTATTAATAATAAATAAAAAAAAAATTGTATGCATTTAGCAGACGCTTTTATCCAAAGTGACTTACAGTGCATTCAGGCTATACATTTTTTACCAGTATGTGTGTTCCCTGGGAATCGAACCCACAACCTTTGGCGCGGCTAACGCAATGCTCTACCACTGAGCCATAGGAACATATTATAATATTATATTATAATATTATCAGGCAACCTAAACCGTTTTCTTTATTTGAAACAATATCACTCATTAGAACATGCAGAAACTAAGAAAATAATTTTTCTATTTTTCCATTTAATTTGCTAAATCATTATAATGAGCCCAAATTAATGGTCTGGTTTCTACAACTTTCACTTTGGAACAAAAATCTGGCTTTAAACTTGAAAGAAATAAAGATGTGACATTTATCGTGATAATTATCGATATCGACTGATATTAAAAAAAAATGATCGGGATTTTTTTTTGGGCCATATCGCCCAGCCCTAGATATAACTATAACATATCTATAACTAGAGCCATCACTATTTATTTCAGCATGACTAAGAGGAGTCCCACTGTATGTGACGATGCAGGCTGGCCATATAAGGGAAAGTTCTCAAATGCTTCCTGAGATGTCAACATACAGCCTGAAGCAGCACAACTCCTATTCATTAAGATAAAACCACTACAGCAGAGCCCACGTCAACAGTTCTGTCCAGGATCACTACTGAACTGCAGGCTATTAGCCTAAAATGATTACACTCAGAGCCTCTGGTTCAACATAAAAGTCATCAAACAAGGACCTATTCACAGGAGTACAATTTAACTAGCTGGATTATAACCAGGCTCTCCAATTACGACCAACAAGAGAACAGACTGAAAACACAGGGATGTGCCTTGCACAGAGATATCGTCAGCAATCTCAAAGTTTGGGGTGAAAACAACTCTGTTGTCCGACTCATTTCCGCGAATCGATTCTTTCGAACGGTTCAATTCAAATAACCGTTTCAAAAACGACTCACTAATAATTCTTAGACATTCAGACGTAATTTCAATACAGAGTCTGAATCAAAAAAAAAAAAAGAAACTTGGTCAGAAAGAATACATTTAACCATATAAAATGGAGATTGCTAAATTTTTTTTTACAGATGTTACTGATTTTGATAATGAACTAAAATTGACCTCTGCATCCTAGCTCAAGCTACTATCAAATGTGCATTTCTAAGCATTTCATTTTCTAAGAGACAAATAAGTTATATTATTATTATTAATAATAAATAAAAAAAAAATTGTATGCATTTAGCAGACGCTTTTATCCAAAGTGACTTACAGTGCATTCAGGCTATACATTTTTTACCAGTATGTGTGTTCCCTGGGAATCGAACCCACAACCTTTGGCGCGGCTAACGCAATGCTCTACCACTGAGCCATAGGAACATATTATAATATTATATTATAATATTATCAGGCAACCTAAACCGTTTTCTTTATTTGAAACAATATCACTCATTAGAACATGCAGAAACTAAGAAAATAATTTTTCTATTTTTCCATTTAATTTGCTAAATCATTATAATGAGTCCAAATTAATGGTCTGGTTTCTACAACTTTCACTTTGGAACAAAAATCTGGCTTTAAACTTGAAAGAAATAAAGATGTGACATTTATCGTGATAATTATCGATATCGACTGATATTAAAAAAAAATGATCGGGATTTTTTTTTGGGCCATATCGCCCAGCCCTAGATATAACTATAACATATCTATAACTAGAGCCATCACTATTTATTTCAGCATGACTAAGAGGAGTCCCACTGTATGTGACGATGCAGGCTGGCCATATAAGGGAAAGTTCTCAAATGCTTCCTGAGATGTCAACATACAGCCTGAAGCAGCACAACTCCTATTCATTAAGATAAAACCACTACAGCAGAGCCCACGTCAACAGTTCTGTCCAGGATCACTACTGAACTGCAGGCTATTAGCCTAAAATGATTACACTCAGAGCCTCTGGTTCAACATAAAAGTCATCAAACAAGGACCTATTCACAGGAGTACAATTTAACTAGCTGGATTATAACCAGGCTCTCCAATTACGACCAACAAGAGAACAGACTGAAAACACAGGGATGTGCCTTGCACAGAGATATCGTCAGCAATCTCAAAGTTTGGGGTGAAAACAACTCTGTTGTCCGACTCATTTCCGCGAATCGATTCTTTCGAACGGTTCAATTCAAATAACCGTTTCAAAAACGACTCACTAATAATTCTTAGACATTCAGACGTAATTTCAATACAGAGTCTGAATCACAGAGATTATTTATTTAAATACGAGTGTTTTTTAATATAATTTAATTAGTCTTAATTCAGTTTGCAGCCACGATTCAGTTCATAAAATTAGTCAAACTCTAGCATGACTTTGTATTTAAAGTAAACAAACTTATAAATTTAGTCCAAAATGTATTTTTAATCTCCTAGCTGAAAGTTTCTGCAATTTAAAAAATAAAAATATTAAAACAGATTCTGAATGCTTGATATCATTTCCCTTTACATTACCAGGTCACTAATTGAATCGATCATGTTCGAACGAAACGGTTCCCGTCTATAAATTCGCTCGAGTATGAGTCGGACAGGTCTAAGAGAAAGTCAGTTAACTGTCGTTTAGACAGTTCACAGCACTTCGGTCAAATTCGTGAACTAATCAATCACACCGATTTGGTGAACCGGTTCAACTGATTCATTTTCAAGATCCGACTCAAATGAACAACTCGTTCGGATACGAATCGGATATCGTTATTCAGCACCTTTAAACTCTATTTACATGTGTCAGTTTATAATCACACTGGCAGACATTTAATTCGCGTCTCCTGTTTGTTGGAAGTAAGAACTGATAAGTTATTAAAAAACGTGCGTGATACAAATGTCGCCGTTTAACGGGCTGGTAAGCAGTGCGTAGAGGGCGTCTGAGAAGTTCCGCTACGTTCATACCGCACATCACCGCGCGCACTATCGTATCCGTCCTATACGCCGCTGTTTAAATGAACTCACGCACAGAGGAACGCCTGGAATGCGAGCGACGCTACACTGCAGCGCGGCGCATTTCAACACATGCACTTCATACTTTGTATCATTTGGCGTTCTTACTGCTTCTCTGGCTTTCCTCTCCAGCGCCAATTCCCTCTGCAGTTTCTCCGCTCTCTCTTCAGCGCCGTCCGCTTGATCTTGCAACAGTTTTATTTTCCGTTTGACTGCTTCCAGCGATGTAGCCGCCATTCTTATTCTAAGTAACCACTAAAAGCCTCGTATTTGAACGCGGTCCCTTCAGATGAACACAGCTCAGAGACGCTGCTGCCCCGGATCTGTGTGTGCGCGAAGACGCGGAGCAACGTTTCAGATCACACCGGAAGTAACCATGTTTTCATAGGCGAGCCCCAAACGACGTCATTGTCATGAACTAGGGCTTATCTGCCGCTTTTCAGCGAACAGTATTTCCATGCGAGACATACAAGAGGTGAACTGCAGTGCATGTTTAATATGTTTCATGAAAAACATATTTGATCAAATCATTTAAATAGTAGTTTACTTCAAAGTCATTTGGAGGATGTGCAATACATGTTTACATCCTGCACCTGTTGCACATCTGAATGCGTTCATCAATAGCCTGATGGGTAATTGACTGGAGTGCTGGTGCTGAAACTGAGCTGCTAAATATGGAATGGCTTCAAGAGGAGGGGGCGCGTTGTTCTGGGCCTCGAATGTAGTTGTTTAGTTCTGTTGCGCCCTCTATAGGGATAATTACAGCATCGACCAGAGATTCACATTCGACCTAAGATTCATATTATATTATTATATTTACATTAATTTATTACTAGTGAATTAATTGATTGGAATAAATTGTAAGTTAGATTATAATTATACAAATATATAATTATATAATAATATAATATATTTACATAGTAAATTAATGTAATTATTAACATTAATAATATATATATATAGAGAGAGAGAGAGAGAGAGAGAGAGAGAGATAGCCTAGCTAGCTAGCTAGATATAACAATTTGATATTGTGATAGATATTATGACAAAAACAAAGTATTCTCAGAATATTACATTATTATGATTATATTAATTTATTACTATTACATTAACTAAATATATTAATATTATATTTATATAATATATAATTTACTAACATTAACTAATAATATTATATTAGTATTCTAAATGTATATATTTTATATACTATATATATTTTTATTTTTATTTCTACATTTTGTTATTTTATTGTAATAAAAAAAAATATATATTTTTGTCTATTTGTATTTACATGTGTGTGTATTTTTATTCTCATCTTATTTTTATTGTCTGTGTGTTGTTGTCTCTGTGTACTGGAAGCTTGTGACACTAAAACAAATTCCTTGTATGCGCGAACATACTTGGCAATAAAGCTCTTTCTGATTCTGATTCTTCTAATTTGATATTGTATTACATAGATATTATAACAAAAATAATATTATAGTTACAATAATATTACATTATTATGGTTATAGTAATTTGTTTACTATTAAACAAATTTATTAGAATAAATTATAATTTAATTATACTAATACTACTATATAATATTGAAATAATTATATAATTTATTAACATCAATAATATTATATTACTATTATACTTATGTTAAAAATCATTTTTATTTGAAATGTAAGTACAATGTAGCACCTTACTGTAGTTCTGTTGATGTACACGAGGGGGAGTCCCAGTGTGCACTATTCAAGACCGTAGTACAAACTACAAAGATCTATTATTTTAACACAACAAAAGAGTTCAAATCAATTTCTACTCACATAGGCCTATATTCTTTTAAATATCTCTCAATTACTGAATAACGCATGACGAATCAATGGAACATAAAACAACTCAAGTTCAAATGATTCTTTGAAGCTGGAGCTAGATGGTCAGAGGACTATCTTGCATCATGCAAAGCTATGCAAATACTTGTCAAGACTTTGGAACGTCTACTCATGCACTTCTCAGGATACAGTTTAGTTTTGAAACTAAAAGAATCAATGGCAATTTTTAAAGAAAGACTTCCAGTCGACCAGTCTCAAGGGCAGAGCCCAAGAAGTCGATCTGAGTCTTGACCATATAAAGCACTAGGCTAAATATAACAGCCTGCCTGCTCACTCTCTTCTTGGAATGCACGTCTTGTAAATTAAAATCGTGTATTTATGTTTGCATACCTATACTAATACACCATGTTTGGTCAGAGATATGCGGACTGTGTTTATAATAGGCCTACACTCTAAAAAATGCTGGGTTAAATACAACCCAGTGCTGGGTTAAATAGGGACAAACCCAGCAATTGGGCTGTTTTGACCCAGCGGTTGGGTTAAATGTTTAACCCAACCTTCTGGGTAGTAACCCAGCTGCTGGGTCAAAACAACCCAATTGCTGGGTTTGTCCCTATTTTACCCAGCACTGGGTTGTATTTAACCCAGCATTTTTTAGAGTGTACCATGCCACAGACGACGTTTTTGTCTTATAGTTCACGAGTCACTTTATTTTCACACCTGAGGAAAAAAGTTACGTTTCATAGGCTAAGAGAAACCAGGGTCCGAAAGCAATATTAACAACCATCCTCAAATATGACAACTGACAACAGACTCTTATCTGTAAGTAATAAAGGCGTGGCATGCCAAAAGTGTCAGGAACAGATGCGTGAAAGCGGGTGATGCTCCATATACTCACATCTGCGGCTTTCTTCTCAGCCAGCTCCAGTTTCTCCTGTGCATCTTTAAGAGCCTCAGAATATTTGTCGAGCTCATCCTCAGTGCCCTTCAGTTTCTTCTGCAGTGCTAGGAGGTCATCCTCAAGCTGCGCGTGTTTGAGTGATTGATTGACAGCAGTGAAGAGCGGGAAGCAGAGTGCGCGTGATGTGGCGGGCAAAGAGACCGACAGAGACAGAGAAAGAGAAAGAGAAGGGAAGAAAGAAAAGTTAGGAAGATTCAGACAGGAACACTCAGGAAAATACCTTGGTGGCGACCTCCTCGGCGGTCAGGAGCTTCTCCTCGACGCTCTGGTACTCCTCAAGCACTTTATCACGCTCGTCCTCCGTTACGCGCAACCTCTTTTCCAACTCAATTAGTTCGTCTTCTAACTACACATGCATAAATGACAGTTGTCATAACAAACGAGGTAAACTTTTATTAGAAATGCTATTAAAACAATAAATATGTCTACTACAAATAGCCTACTAAACGTGCTCTTTAACCCTTCATGGGGTTCAGTTTGTGGTCTCGGAGACCCAAAGGCCTTTTTAATAGCTCAAAAATATACTTAACATGTTTGTTTCATTTTTTTTTTACAATGTGCTTTGTTGGGATCACACTTCTTAAAAGTTCATGTACTTCGTGATACCACGAAGGGTTAACGCATCAATTATAGGCCTATCTGCCAAACGAGTTTTGATTTGGTCAGGGAAAACACAAGGTTTTGCTCCAGTTTCTCCTGTGCATCTTTAAGAGCCTCAGAATATTTGTCGAGCTCATCCTCAGTGCCCTTCAGTTTCTTCTGCAGTGCTAGGAGGTCATCCTCAAGCTGCGCGTGTTTGAGTGATTGATTGACAGCAGTGAAGAGCGGGAAGCAGAGTGCGCGTGATGTGGCGGGCAAAGAGACCGACAGAGACAGAGAAAGAGAAAGAGAAGGGAAGAAAGAAAAGTTAGGAAGATTCAGACAGGAACACTCAGGAAAATACCTTGGTGGCGACCTCCTCGGCGGTCAGGAGCTTCTCCTCGACGCTCTGGTACTCCTCAAGCACTTTATCACGCTCGTCCTCCGTTACGCGCAACCTCTTTTCCAACTCAATTAGTTCGTCTTCTAACTACACATGCATAAATGACAGTTGTCATAACAAACGAGGTAAACTTTTATTAGAAATGCTATTAAAACAATAAATATGTCTACTACAAATAGCCTACTAAACGTGCTCTGTAACCCTTCATGGGGTTCAGTTTGTGGTCTCGGAGACCCAAAGGCCTTTTTAATAGCTCAAAAATATACTTAACATGTTTGTTTCATTTTTTTTTTTACAATGTGCTTTGTTGGGATCACACTTCTTAAAAGTTCATGTACTTCGTGATACCACAAAGGGTTAAAGCATCAATTATAGGCCTGTCTGCCAAACGAGTTTTGATTTGGTCAGGGAAAACACAAGGTTTTAATTTTATAATTACTACAGTATTACAAAAATAGCATACTAAAACTGTTGACTGAAAGCTTAGTTTTACGTGATCCCAAGGTTAGGCTGCAACCCGCAGTCATTTAACCGATACATTTAAACGATTTTGAATTTAATTAGGCTAACATAGGCTACTAATCATGAAAATCTAGTTGAAACAGAAATATTATTCGACAGTAAGTAAAGACAGTAGTTAAGCCTGTATCAATGGAACATTGAGGGTTAATAAATGAATGGCTACATTTTTCTGCACTGGATGTATGGTCATAAAAGGGCGAGTCATCGTACGTCGTATTAACATTATTGACATAATTTTAATTGACATTGAAAAGATTCATACTCGAATTCGTTATTTTTACCCTTCTTCTGTTACTATAAATCCACTCATGATAATCCGTTCATCAAGTAGCGCACGGGAACGGCGCGTGCGCGTTATGGATAACTGTTAAAAGTCCTCATAAAAACCGCAGACCTGTTTGCTCCTGTCCTCCGCTGCCTTTTTGTCTCCCTCAGCCTGCTCAGCTCTGTCCAAGGCGTTCTCCTTGTCGAGCTTGAGCATCTGCATCTTCTTCTTAATGGCATCCATGGCTGCTTATGGGTTGTTCGGCTGCAAAAGTGAAATTTCCCCAGAGGAGCGACGGTCAGAAGCGCTTGGGACTGAACGCAGAGCTGGAGTGCGAACGCCCGCTCCTGTGCGAGCTCTCAAATACGTATTTCCACGGGAGGGGTGACCGAATTCCTCTGGACATTCAATACTTTTTTGGAAACAGCCGCGTTCGGTTGCTTTTCTCCATGCCCCGGGGCTTTTTTTATGGATCTGGGTGGCGATTCGCAGTTGCTCGACATTTGACCGTTTATATGCCTATATAAGGGGTGTGATGGGCAAGGCGAACTCCTCAAGACGTCTTCACACATACTGAGCGCGACGGAACGGGACAGAACGCACGCAGGGGTCTCGAGACGCGTTTTCCACGTGATGCACTGCCATCAAAACGCAACACTCATGGCCATCTGATTCATTTTATTTTGAGAGTTCAAAGAAAAATGTTACAAAATGTAAATGTTAAAAAAGCAGCAGCTTCTTTATATATTATATTTTTCTTTGATTTCATAGGGGATAGGTGTATATTTGTGAGATCCTGAGGTGAGAAGAAATTGATTATTTTTATTTATT